TCTCTCTCTCACACACACACACACACGCGCGCACACACACACACACACACACACACACACACACACACACACACACACACAGAATCAGTTACGAATGTTAGGTGGCAACTGACAAGACACACAATGTCATACACATATGCGTAGTATATATGACTATATCTATACTCGCATCCAGATGGGTATGACCACCTGGCTACACAGATGGAGACATGTATATAGAACTGGGAATTCTTCCGGTGACAGCGCTACAAAAGCACGCGGGGCATAGTCGGCGATACCTGCCGGCCAGTGGTGCCGCTGTTTGTTGTCCCTGATTGCTGTGCTCCGATTCCCGTTTGCCGGTCTTGGGCAGCAAGTCACTTGAGCTTGAGCTTGAGCTTGAGCTTGAGCTTGAGCTGGAGCTTGAGCTGGAGCTGCAGCTTGCGGATGCTCGCTCCCACTCGGCAACGGTTACCGCGCCAATGGCAATTATGGTAGTGAGACTGAAAGAAGCTTCCAACCATTCAGCTATGGTTGTCGTCACCTCCTAGCACACATCGGGACACTCTCGTCGAGACAGCAATTTATAGGAATAGCTTCTGAAGAAGGTGCAGAATGGACAGGAGCCTTGAGCAGAATCGGAAAGGGAAAACAAAGGGAAAGTTTGTTGAAATGCCCCTGCAAGTTTGGGTATCTCGTCGGATACCCCTAAAACGCATGGGTATGGCCAAATGCCCCTATGACAGTACTGAAACTTTGCGAAATACCCCACTCGGAAATTGGACTTCTCATGTTATGCATATAGCCCTACCAGGCCCTGGGCAAATTGTCTATACGCCCCAGTATTTGGACAGAAAGGCTCGTACATACCTTCATGGTGATGGGACATTATGCTGGTGGGCAGAATGCACGAGAGCATCAAAAGAACACCCCTTGGGACGCTGGACCCGGTTTCCAGCAGGTGACGCTCCCCACCAATAGATGGAGCCTCTCCTCAGGTGCTAGTGGTGTCTGCTCTTATCAGCACCACTAACACAAGTGGGGGAAGTTGCTTAAAAAAAAAAAAAAAAAAAAAAAAAAAAAAAAAA